GGAAAACTGAGACAACGCAAATGCATCTGATTAATGTGCACTTGCCACATCCACTGGCTGGTTCTGCTTACAAAGTCCCTCTCCAGCTCTCAGAAAAAATTAAGGTTGTATCCGTCACTCCCAAATGCGACATACGTATACACATGCTTATAGAGATACAGAGCAGTAGGAGCCAAGTGAGTCGAATCTTCCTCTAAACACAGCATCGTCAACTACTTACCTTCCTGTCATCAGATCAAAAGACCAACCATCAAGCCTAGAGTTCTACTATGGGCACAAAACATCTCAAGAAGCATGATTTTACCTGTATCGTTCCTCCTTTACGCAGGTGCGTGTTTTTCAAGGAACTGCATGACTGTTTTCCAGTAAACCTCACCACCAGACAGCCATGTGTCCATATGCATCCCACTTGGAAACTCCACAAAGGTGCACTGAGAGTTACGCGCAGCCGCTTTCGCATACAGCATTTTCATGTGAATTGGAGGGACCATCTCATCTAGCAGTCCAGAAAGGAAAAGCACCGGTTGTTTCACCTGTTATTGTTTGAAGATCAGTTTAACACGGTTTGCTACAGATAATCAAATGATGACACATTTTCTAATAGTGGCACATGCAAAAATGGTAAAAGAAAAGATTCCCTCTAAACTAAATATGCAAGAAGAGTCTACATATGCTTCTTACCTCAGCGATAGCATCGATTGTATTCCAGGGGGAGCGTACAACAAAATTAAGAACTTTCAGGCTCTTTGTACTACCACTTCCTCCAATAAACCACTTCAAGAACGGTAGCAAAACACCAGCCATATCAAGAATGGATGTGAAAGTATTTTCCAGAATCAATGCAGATACCTATAGAAGGACAATGTAGAGATGGTAAACATACAACTATTTGACGCATAGATATCAAATGAAATACTGAAAGCAGAAAAGTATGTAACTTAGTCAAGCATCTACAAATTTCATTTACCATGAAATACTCAGAAAAGTATTAGCTGTTTGTGCATAGAACAGTAAATTCAAGTTGGGGCGATAAAAGGAAGCCAATATAAAAGCACGAGAGTGATAATAACAGTGCTGGTGGCTGATACATTCTATCATGATGCTAATAAGAATATTTACTAGTATTACCTTGTCTGGATTGTTTTTGGTAAGCACAGCTCCAACAGCTCCCCCAAGTGACCTCCCGAATACAACTATTCTGGATGTAGCAATGTCAGTCCTTTGAGAAAGGTGATCCAATGCAGCCTAACAGATTAGGACGCAGGAAAAGGGATTATGAATACACTGAGACACACGGAAGAATTTACGGACATGTGGATAGATTTAGAGAGACAAAAAAACCTGAGCATCTTTTATGATTCCTTGCTGTGAAGGAGAACCATCACTTTCCCCATAGCTGCTTATCAATTAGGTACATATTAAGAAGTTAAACAAGCAGCATTGTGTAACCAGATCCAAGTTTTAACTAAAATACAAATGATTGAGATAAGAGATAAACAAGTAATCAGGTAACTGAAACAGACCCGCGATATGAGAGCATGAACACATTGCAATTCAAGCGTTGTATCATGATGCGAACCATCTCCAGACGATGAGCAATATCTAAGGTTCTAAGGTCAAGGCCGTTACAATGCAAAGGATACCAGCCAACAGACATAGATAGTAAAATAAGTAGACCAGACACCGGAAATCCCTTAGAGCATACACATATAAACAAACAAAAACCAGAACTCGTAAATCTACCAATCACCAAGAAATGGTTCAAGAAAGGATACTTCCGGCATTCTCCTGGAAAAATAGAATGGTTGGACCTGCATTCAACACATCAACTATTAGGTTTCGGAGCCTCAAACTTGGTCGAATTAAGCTAAGCTACTGCCAACTAAAAGAAGTGAAATCAAAGAAACTGGTCAAGCTTGAGACATTTTCCAAGTACAAATCTGACAAAAGGAGACCCAAAACCTAGCTAAAGAAACAGACCAAGAAAACCTAAAATCCCCAAAATTCAGTAGATTCAGAAGTTTTCCTAAATGCATAAATCAAATCTACCAAATAACAAAAACTGAATCGATGAAGCAGTATCGAGGCAAAAAAAACTCAAATCGAAAAGAAAATGAAGAAAACCTCGACATTCAGGGAACATCTTGATGAACCAAGAGTGGAGTCGTACGCCATCGGAGGATCGAAGCCAAACATCCTCGTAGATGAGATTGAGCCTAGCGGGTGTGATCGGATAGGATTTGCTTAAACCAGGAAGCACCGGAACGTAGACAAGCTTCTCCTGAAACGCAACGAGCAGAGCCACTCCCGCGACGACTATTCCTCCTACTCCGTAGAACAAAGCGCCCATGTACGTCACCATTCCG